TGGTTGTACATGAGTAGGGGACATTGCCATAAAATCTCAGCTTTCTAGCTTTTCCCGTTCCCGGGTAATTTTCGCGTCAAAATTTTCACATGCCCGTACGTGAGCCCCGCGCGGGCCTAAGTTAAGTTTGAAAACTTCTGGTCATGCATGGGTAGGAATCATCTCCCCAGAGTTTCAATTTTCTAGCTTTTCTCACTCCCGAGTTATGAATTTTCCCGCCATAATTTCACGTGCCCGTACGTAAGTCCCGGGCAGCCCTGGGCAGGTGAATTTGAAATCTTTTTGTCATATAGGAGTAGGGAACAATACCCCATCGTTTCAGCTTTCTAGCTTTTCTCGTTCCCGAGTTAGCAATTTCCTCGCCAAAAATTCCACGTGCTCGTGCGCAGGGCCCGGACGTGCATGAGAGTTGATATTGCGGTCCCGGGGTGGCATTTAGCTGGGGAACATTTAACTGACAAAATTTCAGCTTCGAAGCTTGCGTGGTTGGCGAGTTGAAATACCGGACAAACGAACACACACACAAACATACATATACACACATACACTGACAGGATCGTTGCAATATGCGTTTTTGCTGCCTGTTGCAGCGCTCTAGCGCAACATGGCAAAAACGCATAAAAAGTTGTTAGAAAAATATGAAAGCACGTTGTACCGCAAGTGTATTTTGCTTCTTTATCAATGAGCTTCCTTAGTCATTCAAAATCTTTGCAGTCAGGGAAAATACGGTGATTTTACGGAAACCGTTGCTTCATGTTATGAGAAGCGCATTATGTGATTTCAAATTAGTCTTCTAGCCCTTTCTATCCTTATCCGTGCCTTACTTCACAGAAACGCTAATACCATCAATTCAGAATGGAACGATCGATAAAATTCTAATTTTGGTGCAACTTATGTACCAGATGTGTAAACATTTATCATGGTGAGCTGCAGCTGTCTTGTGGCTGGACTGGGAAGTACACTTACTGCATCACAAACACTACACTAGATGTTACTGCTTACTGCCAGTTACTAAATTAAGCAAAATGAGAAAAAGCACTGCCACTTTTTATGCCTTTTTTGCAGCTATGCAACGCAGAAAAAGCATACTGACGAGAGGTTGTCTGTGTGTGTGTGTGTGTGTGTTTGTGTATCTGTGTGTGCGCAGCGCATCTGTACCGATTTTTCGTCTCGAGACCCACAAAAGCTGCGAGGCTGAAACTTGGGGGACTTAATCTACATGCGAGTACGCGCCCCAATCTCCGGAATGGGCGCTCTTACGCGCGTGATACCCACGCACGGATCCGTGAAAGTTCTTCGCGGGTAAGTCGCTAACTCGGGAATCAGAAAAGCTAGAAAGCTGAAATTTTACAGGGACTTTCCCTGCCAACTTAAGTCTTAATGAGCTTCAAACCAGTTCCCGGGTAAGCGTGGCACCCACGTACGTGGACCCTGAAATTTTTTCGCAGGTAAATCGCTAACTCGAGAACCTGAAAAGCTAGAAGGCTGCAATTTTGAGGGGATGTTCCCCGTTCACGTAAGTCTCAAAGAGCTCAAACAAAGGTATCGGGTATGCGTGGTACCCCCTTGAGAATCCGTGAAGGTTTTCTCGGGTAAGATGCTACATCGGGAGCCAGGAAAGCTAGAAAGAT